TCCTTCCTTAGGCATGAAAGCCAGCTGGGTGACTTTGGGCCAATCACCAGGAGACTATGAATTCTAGTTCCATTTTAGGCATGCAAGATTGCTGGGTGACTTTGGGCCAATCACTAGGAGACTGTGAGTTCTAGTCCTTCCTTAGGCATGAAAACTGTCTGAGTGACTTTGGGCCAATCACCAGGAGATGGTGAGTTCTAGTCCTTCCTTAGGCATGAAAGCCAGCTGGGTGACTTTGGGCCAATCACCAGGAGCCTGTGAGTTCTAGTTCTGCCTTAGGCATGAAAGCTGTCCAAGTGACTTTGGGCCAATCACCAGGAGATGGTGAGTTCTAGTCCCACCTTAGGCATGAAAGCCAGTTGGGTGACTTTGGTCCAATCACCAAGAGACAAGAGAGTTCTAGCCCCGCCTTAGGGATGAAAGCTGGCTGTGTAGGCCATTCACCAGGAGATGGGGAGTTCTAGTATCACCATAGGCATAAAAAGCTGGCGGGATGAATTTAGGCCAATCACCAAGAGACCAGTGGTGGTATTCTACTGGATTGGCCTAGTTTGGGCGAACCAGTAGTAAAAAAAAAAGAGATATCGTTCGGCCGAACCAGTAGTTAAAAAAACAGCTACCGGTCTGGTATTTCTTTCTTTCTTTTCCTCCCGACGATCGGCTGTTCCAATGATCAGCTGTGCCGAGATCCCCTCGCTGTCTTACGGCTTCGCCCAAGAGGTTTCCCTAAGGCCCAGGAAGCCAAAAGACAGAGCATGGGGGGTGGGTTTCCTGCAAAAAGGTGGAGGAGAAGGAGAAGCAACAGCCATGCCCACCTAGTCACATGACCACACCCACCTAGCCACGGCCACCGAACCGGTAGTAAAAATATTTGCATCCCACCCCTGGAGGAGACAGTGAGTTCTACTCTTGCCTTAAGTGTGAAAGCTGACTGGATGACTTTGGGCCAATCACTGTTGTAAGTCGAGGCCCACCTGTATTATATATGTCCGCCACCTTAAGTTACTTATCAAGTAATACCGGCTTGATTTAAAAAAAAGGAATCAATAGATAACTAAATCAGGAACAATTGATTTTGCCAGCGGTGGTGGTGCGTTCAGGTATGCTCCTCCTCCTCCTCCTCCTCCTCATCTTCTTCAGTGGTGAGATTCAAACGTTTTTGCTACCGGTTCTGTGGGCGTGGCTTGGTGGGCGTGGCAGGGGAAGGATATACTGCAAAATCTCCATTCCCTATCCCCACCCCACTAACCTGCTTTCCAGCTCCGTTCTCCTGTGCAGGGCAGCCAAAGGAGACCCAGCCAATCAGCTGGGACTTGGGAGACAGAGAATAGATGGGGGCGGGGCCAATCAGAAGTGGTATTTGCCGGTTCTCTGAACTACTCAAAATTTCCGCTACTGGTTCTCCAGAACTGGTCAGAACCTGCTGAATAACCACCTCTGATCTTCTTCTTCTTTTAATGACCTCATAATCCCTTTCAGGGTGAAGTCTGAGCAACTGAATGGAACTGAGTATTTACTGGCCGGATGTCCTTCCTGTCACCAGTGCGGAGTTTTGTTCAGCAGATATATTCTCATCGTGCCTCGAGAGAAATATCTGCCTCTGTCTAGGATCGAACTCACAGCCTCCTGATTATGAGGTGAGAGTCCATCTCTAGGCCACCGCACCACTCGCTATCATGTATGCTCATGTCCCAATAAAACTCCAGGTGAGCCCTGTTGCATCGAGAACACCTGGATAAACCATTTTAAGGTTAAACCCCCATTTCCCCCATAGCTCCAACCCCAATTACCTCCACATTTTGAAGCATCTGCTTGAGCAAATAGATGAAATTTTGGATCTCTTCGTTCTTTACCGCAAGGGTTGTGACGATCTTCCTCAGGTCATCCTGTCCCCACCCAAAAAGGAGGAAAAAATCGATATATAGATAAAAGCAAAATACCCCCCTCATGCATCGTCACAAAATCTCCAGAACTGTAAAGTCTACAAACTTAAAATTCAGCCCATATGTTCCTCTTGGCTTCTAGGTGCTCACTAAGAAAGGATTTTTCAAAATGACCACTAGAGCATTAGTATTTCCTATATTATTATTATTATTATTATTATTATTATTATTATTATTATTATTATTATTATTATTATTATTATTAAGCTCTGATGCTAAGGAGTTCTACTCCCCGTCCCCACCTGAAAAGAAATCTCTTCCAAAGGCAAAACACAAGCAGAGGAGAGGAGTTTCAGTTTTAGTTTCACAACCCCAAGCAGCTTTAGTACAGAACAGTTGAGCTAAGCCACGTCCAGGCTCCTTGCTGTCTCCTTCTCGTTCGCACAGCAAATACTCTTTCCCTTTCCAAACAGCCCTCAACTCTCTCACACACTGACAGGACACTAGCCAGATGAATACCGATGGAAGCTGGTAGGCAGAGGCAGAATTTTCTTTTCCTTCTTTTCCTCCTCAAAAACTAAGCCCTTCCTAGACTCAAACAGGTCAGCTTATGGCTTAAATTAGATTTTAAGCTTCTCAATTCTTCAGCGTTTCTCAGCCTTGGCTGAGTTGAAGATAGGCGGACTTCAACTCCCAGAATTTCCCTATGTTACAATGACCGGGGAATTCTGGGAGTTGTAGTCCACCTATCTTCAACTTGCCAAGGTTGAGAATCACTGAGTTAAACCATTCACCTACAATAAATAGACTAAACCTGCCTTTTTCACTGCAGAGGCCTTTCTCTATTATTTCTATTTATCAGATTCGATGACGCTGTTATCCATTCGGTTGTGTCTTAACTCTTGGCGATTCTATGAGCCTGGTCTCTCTATCTCTCTACGTTCTTCCCATCTTGCGTTACTTTGTTGAGTTGTCAAACTATTTTCAGACTATGTTAAAGAAGAGCCGTGGAGCTATTTTTCAGGACAAGAAACAATGGATAGAAACTAACCAGAGAGAAGCAACCTAGGACTAAGGAGAAAATTCCTACAATTAACCAGTGGAACAACTTGTCTCCAGAAGTTGTGAATGACTGGACAATCATTTATTTTGAATGCAATAGAGTTTCCTGCCTGATAAGAGAGCTGGACTAGATGACTTCTGAGGTCCCTTCCGACTCTTTTATTCTATGATCCATGTTCTGGCTGGGGTCAGCTTTGATGGTGTCCAACGAATGTGTTCTTTGATGGCCTGGTTTCCTTTGGCCACTAACTCTTCCCGACAGAATTGCTTTCTCTGGTGAATTTTCCTACGTGACATGTCCAAAATAACGGAGGTGCGGATTTTGCTCTCCAGTGACATGTCTGGGGTTATGCGCTCCAATTTTGCTGTCCAAGGAATATGCAGGAACCTTCTCTGGCACCAGAGCTCAAACGGGTCTAATTTCTTCCTGTCTTACTTTGTTTTTGTTTTTTAAAGGTCCAACTTTCACAACCAGAGGTAGCTACGGGGAACATGACAAGAGCTGACTAACCTACATTTGATGGCCGGGTGGATGTCCTCGTTTTCCCATATTCAGTTCATGTTCAGCGTTGGCGGGGGCGACCCAGGGCATTTCTATGTTTTATTACATTTACGTTATGCTTTAAAGGGGCTGCATTTACTGCTTTGAATGATCTAATTCAGAGTAGAATAGAATAGAATAGAATAGAATAGAATAGAATAGAATAGAATA